TTTTCTTTTTTTTTTTTTTTTTTTTTTTTTTTTTTTTTTTTTTTTGACAACGTGGATCTGAAAATATTCTTCGTAGCTTAACCAGGAGGAGGGGGATGACGCTGGACTTCACTTTTGTGATGAAGTTACAGAGTTTTAAAGTTGCGAAAAATGTCAAGGCGTACTTGAAAGCCTCAGAAGGCTTTTGTGAAAATAATCCCGAAATGCAACAAAGCTGCTAAAGCTAAATGCTAACGGTTGCTCCCACATGTCTGCGAGTCATGTGGTTCACCACAACAGTTTCATTATTTACTCGTAATTGCTAACTTTCGTGTTAATTCATCACTTATTAAGATGTTCGTTATGTACAAGTCATATCATTGCCAGATTAGGCTAAATAAGTGACAAATACTGACAGGAAAATGTACTCCATTCAACATGCTAACCTAGTTGTGACGACCAAATTATCATTTATTTTATTCATTGTTGCCAAAATGACACGTATTTAGTTTTATTAAAAGTGCACACTAGTTTTTTTTATGTATAACACAATTTAAGAATTCGTGGTTAAGTGATTTGCACGTGCTCCAGACTTCTGATTTTATTACCAAACTTGCTTCAAAACTTCCCTAAAATAAGCCAGTTTTATCCCCCAGAAATGTAACCTGTCGTGTTGAGAAATTTGATACTTTTTAATAATGTATGTTGACCCCATCTTCAATTCGGCGTGGCTCAAACAAATAAAATATACCTAATTGTCAAAAATATTTTAACATTTGCATGTGCATTATTTGCTGTTTTGGTCATTCGCATATCCAAAAACAGTTATGTTAGTTAAGAGTTAAAATTAAGTAAGAAGATCAAATAAATGTGCTAAAGATTACGTCTTGTTCCCCAAACCAGACAGGTTCTTAAATGCAATGGATGCTAAGGGCTGTAAAGGATAATGCAACACAGATAGATGCTGCGTTCACGCACCGCTGAAACAACACATCCCTCCGTAGTATACAGACGATCATGTTTTGTTATCTGCTCTTGTGCAGTGCCAGTACCTAATGTTTGCTAGTTGCTGATAATCTAATCTAGGTCACTAGGCTAGTAATGCACGAGTCAAGGTATAGCTGTTTATATTTTTTTTCCTGCAGCTTTTTAAAGCAACACGCTTTTAAACTTTATTTAAAATATTCTAGTTTTTACTAACAGCTTGCGCTGTTTGGTGCAATGAGTGGTGCGTTTATGTGTTAGTAGGTCATACGGCCGTGTCTTGCTTTCCAGTGCATGATTCACTTTGTATTTTGGAAAAACAAAAAAAGGTTTATTTTTGATTTCAAAAAAATCAAAATTATGCAGCAGCAGAAAATTGGTTATTTATTTTGGTTTTCTGATTGTATATTCTCAATTTATGTGGGAAGCATCCCAGTTAGTTAATATGGTTACTCATACAGGTGCTGGTCATAAAATTAGAATATCATGAAAAAGTAGATTTATTTCAGTAATTCCATTTAAAAAGTGAAACTTGTATATTATATTTCAAATGTTTATTTCGTTTAATTTTGATGATTACAAA